CATTATGGCGAACACTGAGACACTAAGGGACACTGGGAGACATAGCGAACACTGAGAGACACTAAGGACACTGGGGAGACATTATAGCGAACACTGAAGACACTAAGGGACATTGGGAGACATTATAGCGAAACACTGAGACATTAGGGACACTGGGAGACATTACCGAGCGAACGCACTGAGACACACTAAGGGACACTGGGGAACATAGCGAACTTTGGAGACACTAAGGGACAATGGGAGACATTATGGCAGACACTGAGACACTAAGGGACAATGGGAGACATTATGGCAGACACTGAGACACTAAGGGACACTGGGAGACATTATGGCAGACACTGAGACACTAAGGGACACTGGGAGACATTATGGCAGACACTGAAACACTAAGGGACACTGGGAGACATTATGACACACTGAGACACTAAGGGACATTGGGAGATATTATGGCAGACACTGAGACACTAAGGGACATTGGGAGACATTATGACACAGACACTAAGGCACACTGTGAGACAGTATGGCAGACACTGAGACACTAAGGGACACTGTGAGACATTATGGCAGACACTGAGACACTAAGGGACATTGGGAGACATGGCAAACACTGAGACACTAAGGGGCACTGGGAGACATTATGGCAGACACTGAGACACTAAGGGACACTGGGAGACATTATGGCAGACACTGAGACACTAAGGGACACTGGGAGACATTAAGGCAGACACTGAGACACTAAGGGACACTGGGAGACATTACGGCAGACACTGAGACACTAAGGGACATTGGGAGACATTATGGCGAACACTGAAACACTAAAGGGACACTGGGAGACATTGCTGACACTGAGACACTAAGGGACATTGGGAGATATTATGGCAGACACTGAGACACTAAGGGACATTGGGAGACATTATGACACAGACACTAAGGCACACTGTGAGACAGTATGGCAGACACTGAGACACTAAGGGACACTGTGAGACATTATGGCAGACACTGAGACACTAAGGGACATTGGGAGACATTATGGCAGACACTGAGACACTAAGGGACACTGGGAGACATTATGGCAGACACTGAGACACCAAGGGGCACTGGGAGACATTATGGCAGATACTGAGACACTAAGGGGCACTGGGAGACATTATGGCAGACACTGAGACACTAAGGGACATTGGGAGACATTATGGCAGACACTGAGACACTAAGGGACATTGGGAAACATTATGGCAGACACTAAGGGACACTGGGAGACATTATGGCAGACACAGAGACACTAAGGGACATCGGGAGACATTATGGCAGACACTGAGACACTAAGGGACATTGGGAGACATTATGGCAGACACTGAGACACTAAGGGGCACTGGGAGACATTATGACAGACGCTGAGACACTAAGGGACATTGGGAGACATTATAGCAGACACTGAGACACTAAGGGGCACTGGGAGACATTATAGCAGACACTGAGACACTAAGGGACATTGGGAGACATTATGGCAGACACTGAGACACTAAGGGGCACTGGGAGACATTATAGCAGACACTGAGACACTAAGGGACATTGGGAGACATTATGGCAGACACTGAGACACTAAGGGACACTGGGAGACATTATGGCAGACACTGAGACACTAAGGGACATTGGGAGACATTATGACACTGACACTGAGACACTAAGGCACACTGTGAGACAGTATGGCAGACACTGAGACACTAAGGGACACTGTGAGACATTATGGCAGACACTGAGACACTAAGGGACATTGGGAGACATTATGGCAGACACTGAGACACTAAGGGACACTGGGAGACATTATGGCAGACACTGAGACACTAAGGGACATTGGGAGACATTATGGTAGACACTGAGACACTAAGGGACACTGGGAGACATTATGGCAGACACTGAGACACTAAGGGACATTGGGAGACATTATGGCAGACACTGTGACACTAAGGGACACTGGGAGACATTATGGCAGACACTGAGACACTAAGGGACATTGGGAGACATTATGGCAGACACTGAGACACTAAGGGACAATGGGAGACATTATGGCAGACACTGAGGGACACTGAGACACTAAGGGGCACGGGGAGACATTATGGCAGATACTGAGGCACTAAGGGACATTGGGAGACATTATAGCGAACACTGGGAACACTAAGGGACATTGGGAACGTACTTATAGCAGACACTGGAGACACTAAGGAACACTGGGAACATTATGGCAGACACTGAGACACTAAGGGGCACTGGGAGACATTATGGCAGACACTGAGACACTAAGGGACATTGGGAGACATTATGGCAGACACTGAGACACTAAGGGACACTGGGAGACATTATGGCAGACACTGAGAGACAAGGGGACATTGGGAGACATTATGGCAGACACTGAGACACTAAGGGGCACTGGGAGACATTATGACACAGACACTGAGACACTAAGGGACACTGGGAGACATTATGGCACAGACACTGAGACACTAAGGGACACTGGGAGACATTATGGCAGACACTGAGAGACATGGGGACATTGGGAGACATTATGGCAGACACTGAGACACTA